CTCAGCACCCACGCGCGTAGCACCCCCAGAGTCAGCACCCCCAGGCTCAGCACCCGCAGCAGGACCAGAGTCACCAGCAACCTCGACCGGCTCGACTGCGTCTACCTGGGACACACCTGAAGGGGCAGGACCCTGAGGGGGAAGGGGGTCTACCGGGGGGGGACCTGGCACAAGGAAGTGCGGTGGCGGGGGGAGGGAAGGAGTGCGGTAGGGGAAGAGGCGGTAGAAGGGGACTGACTCGTCGAACGTGACGTCCTGGGAGGACAGAACACGACGAGAGGAGGGGTGGTAGAACTGCCACCCTGGGGCGTCAGGGGGGAAGCCGAGGAAGACACAGGGAGCAGCACGAGGGGACAGCTTGTCCGCAGACAAGTCGCGGACAAACGCCCGAGATCCCCAGACACGGAACGCAGACGCATCGCCGACCTTCCCCGTCCACAGCAGAGCTGGGGAGGTCTCCGGCCGGGAGACCCTGGGGTGAAGGTTGATCTGATGCGCCGCGTACCGAACCGCAAACGGCCACAGAAAATGGGGGGCAGCCGCATGCATCATGGACGTACGAGCGACGTCCATGACCATGCCAATGCGACGCTCAGCAATCCCATTTTGCTGTGGAGAGTCCGGAAGCGTAAAGGTCTGGCGGATGCCTCGTGCACGACAGTAGGCTCGCAGAAGGCCAGAGGAGAACTCTCCACCTCGGTCAGAGTGCAGACGCAGAACAGGAAAGTCCGAGCCGAAGCTCCTCCTGAGCTGGAGACGAGCTGCGCGGATCCAGTCGATCAACACCTCAGTGACATCACCCTTGCTGCGCAAGGGGAAGACTGTGGTGTAACGCGAGTAGTCGTCAACCACCAGCAGGAAGTAGCGCTCGTGACCCTGCCCACGGACGCGGGCCGGGCCCCACACGTCCATGTGAAGCGTCTGCAGAGGAGCCTCTGTCGGGGGAAACTGGGAGGAGTGAGGGGCAGCCCGGAGCCGCCCCTCGACACAGGGGACACAGGAAGGTCCGGGTCCCGAAGGAAGGGGAGGGAGAGACCGGGGAAGACCAGAGACAAGGACACGGGAAGCCATGCCCCGAAGACGAGGCAAGGAGGGGTGGCCAAGACGGTGGTGCCACAGGAGAGTCTCCTGAGACAGGCGGCGACACGAGCAGGGGGCAGACTCAGGACCAGACCTGGACGCAGCAGCAAACACCTGACCCGACGCAGCTACCTGGCCAGACGCAGGGACAGGAGGAGACTCAGTGGTCAGGGTGTAGAGACTCGACCCTGGCCGACGCGAAAACGTGGCCAGGTGTCGGCCTGTGCGGGCGTCCGAGCAGTGGGTCACCCGCTGACTCGCAGGAGTAAACTGGTGAACCCCCGCATCCTGCAGGTCAGCACCACTCACCAAGTTCGTCGAGAACGAGGGGAGGTACAGACCAGACAAGGTGCCCGAGGGGGCAGCCGGACACGGGAGGACAGTGGAGAAGTGAGAGAGGACAGGACCCCCAGAGGGGTCAGCCAGGGAGACTGCAACCGGCCGGCCAAGCGGCGTGAGTGTGGTGCGGTCTCGAAAGAAGGAGCGAGAAGCCCCTGAGTCAAGCGTGAAGGTGAGGGAGGCCGAAGCCGACGCAGTACCTGAGAGCGCAGCCTCACCAGTACCTGAGAGTGCAGACGCACTGGCACCTAGAGCAGCAGCCGCAGAAGTACCTAGCGCAGCAGTACCAATGCCCGGGTCGGGCGGGAAACACCGGTAACAGTCACCCTCCTCACTAATAGTCACAGCATACATGGCAGCAAGGATAGCATCAAAGTCAAGATCAAAGATAGCTACGCCAGCCCTAGACAGCTCTCCCCAACGGGGAATCTCACTAGCCTCGGGGAACTGCTGACGCCAAGCGTCCGTCAGGCGGCCAAAGCAGCGCTGGGTGGGGTGGGCACCCCCACACTGCTCACCCGCGCGGTCGCCGGAACGAAGGACGTAGGTGCACGGACCAAAACCCCCACCCCGCTGACGCTGCGTGTACCACTCACGGAGCTGCTGGGGCGGGGGGATGTCCCGCGAACGCTGCTGCTGCTGCTGACGCTGGCCACCACCAGAGCCGCTACGCTGCGGGGCACCACCCCGACCAGCTCCACCCCCTCCGCCACCGCCGCCTCCACCTCCACCACCACCGCTGCCTCCGCTCCCACCGCTGCCGCCACCACCGCCTCCTCCTCCGCTGCTGCCACCGCCACCACCGCCCCCGCCACCACTCCCACCGCCACTCCCACTCCCTCCGCCGCCTCCACCGCCACCTCCACCGCCCCCTCCAGTTCCACCCGCGCCCTTGCCCCCCTTGCCCCTGCCAGGGCGGCGTCTCCCGCTAGGGGCAGACGCCGCGCAGACCGACTCAAGACCAAGCAGGTCGGCAGCAGCAGCAGAGGCAACAGAGGGCAGCAGGGGGGAAGGAGAACACCCCTCAAAGATGGGGGTGCGAGGGTCACCACGAGAGGCTCCTACAGCGACGATGCTCTTCTCCGCCGCCAGGAGGGACTTCTCGAGGAGGTCGACAGTGAGGGTGGTGGGACAGACTGAGAGGAAGTGGTCCCTGACTACGTGAAGGGAGTCAGGGAGGCGTGTGACTATGTAATAGAGAGTGATGTACATGGGGGGGGGGGTTCTTGGCGCAGAACTCAGCAGGAAGGGCGGCGCGGTAGCGAGTGTCACTAGTGCGGAGGTGCGTAATGAGGTCAGCGACAGTGGGAAAGGCAGCAAGGTCAGGAAAGAGGTACGGTAGCATGAGGCGGCTCAGGGCAGCAGTGGCAGGGGAAGAGTAGCGCGCAACTACAGCGTCGTACAAGGTCTGAGCACTCTTGTACTGACTAAAGTGCGCGCGCTCAGTGGTAGGCAGGTGGCGACGCACAGCAAGACGTGCAGCAGCATCGCGGGTGGCCCACTGAGAGCGAACAGTGGGGTCAGCATCAGCAGCAGGGGCAGGAGAGGCGCCAGAGGTGAGGTCAAAGAGGGAAAGACCGTCCGTCCTATCGCACTGTAAGAACAGCTGCAGGTCGTCGACCCAGACCTCAAAGTCAATGGCTCGACCCTCAGCGTCAAAAGCGAGGACACTAGGGGTAGCCATGACGACGACAGTGTAGCAGTGCAAGCAGTAGGGGAGGGGCACGCAGTAACAGTGGTGCTGTGCTCACCAGGCAGGGCAGGTCGGGCGGCTCGGCAGTAGGGCGGCCCGGCGGCTGGGCGGCTCGGCGGCGCGGCTGCTGGGCGGCTCGGCTCCCGGGCGGCTCGGCGGCAGGGCGGCTCGGCGGCAGGGCGGCTCGGCGGCTCGGCTCCCGGGCGGCTCGGCGGCAGGGTGGCTCGGCAGCAGTGCGGCTCGGCTCCCGGGCGGCTCGGCGGCAGGGCGGCTCGGCAGTCGTAGGCGGCGGGGCCGGTGAGGATAGGCGGCTGGGCCGCGAAGTGGGGCGGCGGGGCCGCGTAGGTGAGGGCGGCGAGGCCGCGAAGGCAAGGGCGGCGAGGCCGCGTAGGTGAGGGCGGCGGGGCCGCGAAGTGAGGGCGGCGGGGCCGCGAAGTGAGGGCGGCGGGGCCGCGTAGGCAAGGGCGGCGAGGCCGCGACGTGAGGGCGGCGAGGCCGCGAAGGCAAGGGCGGCGAGGCCGCGTAGGTGAGGGCGGCGGGGCCGCGAAGTGAGGGCGGCGGGGCCGCGAAGGTGAGGGCGGCGGGGCCGCGTAGGCAAGGGCGGCGAGGCCGCGTAGGTGAGGGCGGCGGGGCCGCGAAGTGAGGGCGGCGGGGCCGCAACGTGAGGGCGGCGGGGCCGCGCAGGTGAGGGCGGCGGGGCCGCGTAGGCAAGGACGGCGAGGCCGCGACGTGAGGGCGGCGGGGCCGCGACGTGAGGGCGGCGGGGCCGCGTAGGTGAGGGCGGCGCAACGGGCCGCTAGGGGCGACACGGAGGGTCGCTAAAAAAAAAGAAAGCGCGCCTCGGGGCGCGCTTCGGTGGGCCCTAGAAACAGTCCCTAGGAGGGGACCTGCTCTGATTCCATGTGAAAAGGAGAAAGCGAATGGATGAACTATGAATGAAGTGAGAACATATAGGAAACCCTAATTGGGTTGTACCCCCTATGGGATACCCCACTATAGCCTACACAACAGCATAAGCTATATATATGTTCTGACACTGGCCAACATTGAAAACCACCCTGCCCTGCAAGTGTACCTGAGGAGCCGGGGATTCCGCGACATACACGCACTCGCGTAGCGGAGGGGGCTTCTTGAGGGGGGGGGGTAGTGTAAGGATTTTTCTCGGCATTCCTTACGGAGCCCGACTACATCGCGTACAGCAACAGCCGTTGTTCGCCCGTTACTGCTAACGGAACTTCGCCGACTTCACGCGCACTGTTTCACCAAACCTCGCACTGCTGGCCCGGCCGTGTCGGCCTACGCTTCGGGACTAGCCCGAGCCTCGCTGCCAGCATAGCACTAGCTAGCTCGCACGCACCGCGTTACCGTTTGCATGCTTCGCATATAAATGTTCGCTCATGCCTTCGCTCACATCTTTGTACTCGTTTGACACCTTAGTGCAATTCTCGCTACTTCGATTCATTGCACCCGTAATAGTTGCTCATTAATGTCGAGATACAGTTCGGTTTTTCCAGCAATTCATATGTCCTAATGCACCGTCCTCAGAATTATCACAGCTGGCACTTCGTTTGCGTAACACCCTCCCCCATGTTCCTCACCTCTGCTCTCTTGTTCCTCCGTTATTGTCACACAATAGACCGCCATACCACTATTCTCACTGCCGCGCTAAGCTCCGACCCTCATATCTAGTGTCACTAGCAGCTAGCGACATCTTCAGCACCAGATTCTGGGAACGTTTAGTGTCATAAGCTGTTTCGCTACCTGATCTTTCGGTAATTTTCCAGTCTCTGGCATGTAAAATTTCATGGCAGGTCACCAACCTCAAATCACACCTCCTATTTCACCTCCGACTCCCGGGAGGACCGTCGGAGAAGCAGCAGTAGGCGGAATGGCAGCTCAGGCTGGCGGAAACGGCGGAGACGGTGGAGCGGGAGGCTTAGGGGGAGGCGGAGGCGGAGGCGGAGATGGAAGCGGAGGCGGAAGCTTAGGCGGTCGTCCCGTGGGGGATGATTATGTTCTGGAGAAGCAGATAGGTTCGGGGTCGTTTTCCGTGGTGTGGAGGGGTAGGAGGCGGTCGACGGGCGACGCGGTGGCGATTAAGGAAATTCCGACGGAGAAATTAAGTGCCAAGCTGCACGAGAGTCTCGAGTCGGAGATTGCGATTCTGAAACGCGCAAGGCATCCCAATATCGTTCATCTATTGAACATAGTTAAGGTGCGTTGGGCGTTCCAAATATGCGTAGCACCTTATGTTTCCCGGCGCGAGGCATCCCAACATAAACCACCTGTTGGACATAGCTAAGGTGCGTATGACCGTCCGTGCATGCTTAGCACATGTTATATCTCTTCTAGCGGTTCTATGTTGCGCTAGCCACCCAACGTCGTTTTTGGCGTATGGTATTGAGGTGGATAGCTTAGTGCTGTCCGCTGAGTATATGCTATGCTATCCTAAAAGTTTTCAAAGGCCCTCAGCTGTACTCTGGGAATGTTTATTCGCGCGAGGCACCTCAAGATGATATCAGTAGCGCCTCAATTGCTTGCTTATGAGTCGACTTACGGCACCTATTATAGATTAGACGGGCGTGGCTTCTGAGCCGGGCATTGTGAAGCTCTGTTGCACTGTTCAGGCATTTGAAAATGTGTGGTAAGGGTCATTTCTGTTGAAGATGCACTTTTTAAGTGCGTCAAATAAGCTGTATAGCGTTAGGAGGCGAAGTGAAGTGAATTGCACTGTGCAATTATTCCCGTGTTTTGTTAGATGTTATTCTTCTGCTTTCCCACATCCTTTCTGCTTTGCATTTTGTTATTTTCCGTGTCCTGCCTGTCCGCAATTATGTCTATTCCTCTCCCCCCACTCCAGACCTCGTCGCGTATGTTCCTTGTCCTGGAGTACTGCGCGGGTGGTGACCTCTCGCACCACATCAGGCGGGGCGGGGCGGTGAAAGAGGCGGCAGCCCGGCACTTCATGAGGCAGCTGGGAGCGGGACTGCAGGTGCTGCGAGCCAACAACCTTATTCACCGGGATTTGAAGCCCCAGGTCGGTATGGTGTACGGTGTGGTTGACTGATTTGTGAGATGGGTTGGAGGCGGTGAAAGAGGCGGCAGCAAGGCACTTCCTGCGGCAGCTGGGGGCGGGGCTGCAGGTGTTGCGAGCAAACAACCTCTTTTTCCTCCATTCCATCCATCTACGCAGTATTTTATTACAACTGCATCGTCAAAGTCCAACAAAAGTCTCAGGTTTCTGTTTCTGCCGTCTCTGCCCATGTGATACATACACTACACCCTGCCTCGCTTGTTCTCAGAACCTCCTGCTATCTGAGCGCACCTCTGCTGCAGTGCTCAAGATTGCAGACTTCGGATTCGCCAGGTCAGTTCTCCATTCAAGCAAGAGCATATGTCGATCACATCTCTCACCAGGCAGGCAGGCACCCACCCTTCCAAACCCTTCCAAACCGTTCCATCCACCAACTGCCACCGTTTGCATAGCAGAGTGCAATTTTGACGCCTCTCACTTTTCCTATGGCAGGTCGCTGCAGCCACAGGGCCTGGCGAAGACGCTGTGTGGTGTGCTTCCCCCCTGTACATGGCTGGGTCGCACCATAGGCGGCAGTTCTCTCCTCTGCTCCGCTTTTTGAGGCGTCTCATTTTTTTTTTTTTTTTTTGAGGCGCCTCAAAAATCCCCCCTGTACATGGCTGGCTGGCACCATAAGCGGCAGTTCTCTCCTCTGCTCCGCACCCTTCCTCCCCCCTCTCTCTGTCTCCTCCATGCACCACACCACAACAGGTCGCTGCAGCCACAGGGCCTGGCGGAGACGCTGTGTGGATCTCCCCTGTACATGGCGCCAGAGATCCTGCAGTGCCAGCGATACGACGCCAAGGTGTGTATGTGAAGGCGATATGGCAGACTGACACTAGTGCAAAAAGTGAACGGTAATGGTTGGTATGTGGTCACACATTTTCTTCCATCTCTCAGCCCCCTTCCTCCTTCTACCCTCCATCACTCCCCGTTGCATCCTTCTCCCCCATTTCTGGATTCTGACATCCCTTCCATTCGCAACGCCCTTCTCCCCCCCCCTCTCATGGTCGCTCTTTCGCCCTCACTGCTCCGTCTCGCCACTCCACCAGGCGGACTTGTGGAGTGTGGGCGCCGTTCTCTTTGAGCTTGTCGTGGGGCGACCACCTTTTGGACTCGACTCAATAAGCCTTTTCTCTATCTCACTGTCCCTCCCTCTCGCCCTCACTGCCCTCCTCTCCCCCTCACTGTCACCAGGCGGACTTGTGGAGTGTGGGCGCCATTCTCTTTGAGCTTGTCGTGGGGCGACCACCTTTTGGCGGTCAGAATCACGTGCATGTGAGTATCACGAGCACTTGTTCCCTATGTGTGTGTGTGTGTGTGTGCGTGTGTGTGTGTGTGTGTGTGTGTGTGTGTGTGTTTGTGTGTGTGTGTGTGTGTTTGTGTGTGTGTGTTTGTGTGTGTGTGTTTGTGTGTGTGTGTTTGTGTGGGTGTGTGTGTGTTTGTGTGTGTGTGTTGTGTGGGTGTGTGTGTGTTTGTGTGTGTGTGTTGTGTGGGTGTGTGTGTGTTTGTGTGTGTGTGCGAACTTTTCCGGCATGTGTGTTGTTCTCGCTGGTCATCTTACTTATCGAATGTGGCTTGTGAGTTGACACTCTCCCTTAGGCATGAGCAGGGGGCGAACTCGAACATGTTCGTGTTCGCCCCCTGACGAACATGGCCTTCTGCCGAACCGAACAGTGTTCGGTTCGGCGAACGACTTGAGTGACAATAGGTGTTCGCCGTTCGCCCTAGGAGGCGAACGAATTGCTGCAACAGGCGAACACGAACATGTTCGTGGCGAACATGATCGTGTTCGCCCAGGGGGAAATTCAATTTAGAGTAAAATTCAAATCGTTGCACATTCCCTCCCCCCACCTCCCAAGCCAGTCCCGCCCTGCTTCATCCATCTAGTGCCAGCGTGCAACGGCGAAATGCTAGATCCGCACTTACGCAACGGCGAAATGCTAGATCTGCACTTAAGCAACGACGAAATGCTCGATCCGCACTTAAGCAACGGCGAAATGCTAGATCCGCACTTAAGCAACGGCGAAATGCTCGATCCGCACTTAAGCAACGGCGAAATGCTCGATCCGCACTTAAAGCTCGCGACCCAAATTGCGGGCCGCGCTGGGCAACCTTCGTAAGGTTGATTGACAGTTGTTTTGCAGGCGCTGGTTTTGCGAATTGAGGTTACGGGTTGTACGAAGGAAGCTGATTGGCTAGTCAATTTGAAACACTGAGCTGATTGGCTAGCAAAATTGAAACAGTGTTTGCGGAGGGGGTTGGGTGGGAAACTGGCAAGGATAGTATTTGTGCAATATGGGACTCATGCAACCAAACGCGAAGTGGCCCCTGGGGCCTGCTGAGTCAGCGAAATGTGTTTGAGATTGGCGAGAAGTTGGGCGAAACCAAAGCCCTCAACCCACCCAACACCTCGACTTTCCAACCCTGCTCCCTCACCTCCCAACATGCAACTTTAGTAAAGTTGTACAATTTGGGCCGCGAGCTTTAAGCAACGGCGAAATGCTAGATCTGCACTTTACTAACTTCGAAAGGCCAGATCTGAGCCCAAACACCAAGGCCCGCGACCTAATTATTGGTCGCGGGCCTATTCGTCGACGAACACATTGGTGTTCGTCGAAGGCCTGTGTCGAACACGAACACGTTCGTGTTCGACGCGCCTCGGCGAGCTGAGCCGGGCGAACGGCGAACGTGTTCGGGCGAACACCGAACACGTTCGCCTCGAACAATTTCGTCATATTGCTCATCCCTACTCTCCCTCCCTCACTTCCACCCCTGCCTGCCTGTCACCACCACAGCTGCTTAAAAACATCAAGAGAAGCGAGGCGAGGGTTCCGCGTGATAGTGCACAATCATAACAACATTCTCTCTCTAAATCACATGCGCGCGCATACTCCTGCCCTCTCCCCCTTGCACCCCTGCCTGCCTGCCTGCCTTTCACCAACCACAGCTGCTGCAAAACATCAAGAGAAGCGAGGCACGTGTACCGCGCGACATTGCTGCAACTCTTTCGGACGACTGTCTTGGTCTCATCCGCTCTCTGCTCAAGCGGAACCCCGGTGAGAGTCACGGGAGAGGCGAGGGTACCCCCCATTCCATTCCCCCCCCCTCCCCTCCCACACCTCCGGCTCATCCGCTCTCTGCTCAAGCGGAACCCCGGTGAGTGATTCACTTTGGTTTTTCAACTTCAACCACATCGTGTTGCATTGCAAGTAGATTGCAGGCAAGAGTCACAGGTGAGGCGCTGCAGGGTGTTTTTCAGAATTCTCAAAACACCCTTCAACCACGTCGTGCTGCAAGTAGATTGCAGGCAAGAGTCACGGGTGAGGCGAGGGTACCGTGTCAAGTGGCATTGCTGTAATTCTCTCCAATGACTGTTTCAGGCTAATCCGCTCTCTGCTCAAACGGGAACCTGGGTGAATTCAAACATGATAATAACCGAAGCGCCTGAAATGCCTTCGCTGCCAGAAATAGTCCGTTTTTCTGTGTGTGAAAGTCCCTGTGTTGTAAGAGTTTCCGTTTTTGTGGATATCATATAAAAAAAATCTCTCTTGGTACTGTGAAATCTCGTCCTTCCCCCTGTTACTCTTTGCCGCACAGTGGAGCGGCTGTCATTTGAACAGTTCTTCAATCATCCCTTCCTTGGCTTAGCAAGGTACGCATGGGGGAAGGGGGGTAATGGGGGGAAAGGAGGGAATGGGGAGAAGGGGGGGAATGGGGGGATGGGGGGGGAGAGGGAGGTTGCTTGGTTTTTCTTGAGCTATATGAGGACTTGTCCCACCCACGTGTTGCTGCTGCGCCATGTCGAGTATTCCTAGCAATCCTATTGAGGCGCCTCGATGGGCGACGTGTAGCGAGGTTGTTTTTGAGACGTCTCAAAAACAACCTCGCTACACGTGGACTTGTCCCACCCACGTGCTGCTGCTGCGCCATGTCGAGTATTCCTAGCAATCCTATTAAGGCGCCTCGATGGGCGCATTTTCTTATCTTAGCAATCCTCTCTCCCCTCCTCCGCCTTTTCCTCTCTCCCCATCCTTCTCGTCCCCCTTGTAAATCCTTCCCTCCCCCTTTTCCTCCCTCCCCTCCTCCGCCTCCCCCCCCCCCCTCTCGCTGCATGCTCACACATCAGTTCCCCTAAGTCTATCTGGCAACCACCAGCCTCCTTCACCAACCCAGCTACCGTCTGAGGCGCCTCAAAAGCCCCCCCCCCTCCCCCCCTTCTCTCCCTCCCTCCCTTCCCTGCATGCTCACACATCAGTTCCCCTCAGTCTATCTGGCAACCACCAGCCTCCTTCACCAACCCAGCTACCGTCTGAGGCGCCTCAAAAGCCCCCCCCCCCCTCCCCCCCTCTCTCCCTCCCTCCCTTCCCTGCATGCTCACACATCAGTTCCCCTCAGTCTATCTGGCAACCACCAGCCTCCTTCACCCTCTCTCCCTCCCTCCCTTCCCTGCATGCTCACACATCAGTTCCCCTCAGTCTATCTGGCAACCACCAGCCTCCTTCACCAACCCAGCTGCTCAGACCGAACCACCGCCACTCCGTACCGAACCTCCGCCACTTCGTACCGAGCCTCCACCGTTCCCTGCCGAACCTCCATCATCCTCCGCCGAACCTCCGGCTCCGCCACAGAGTTCCAGGCCTCCCCCAGCTGTTTCTGCCCCTACAACCCCTGCCACCACCCCTTCGGCTCCTGCTGCTTCTCCTGGTGCAGGGGGGGTTGCGCCTGCTCCTCCAACCTCCCCCTCCTTTACTCCCCTACCTCATACCCCCCTGCCTCCCCCCTCCCTTACTACCCCTGCCCCTGTTCCCCCGTTTCCCCCTCCCCTTAACCCCCCTGCCCTGCCTGCCCCCTGCGCTACCCCTCTGTCCGCCCCGCCTTCGCCCCCATATCGCTCCGCTTCCCCACACCTTCCCCCTGGGCCCTCGTTTCCTGCTGATTCTAACCCTGTTTCAGCTGCCACTGTAAATAGTGACATGTCTGGTGCTGTTAGGGGGGATTCTTATAAGGAGGATAGTGATCCCTGGGGTGTGGTTGCTGTAGGTGGTGGCAGCGGAGGAGGCGGAGGAGGGAGTGGGCGAGGAGGAGGCGGCGGAGGGAGTGGGAGAGGGGAAGGGAGTGAGGGCAGGGCAGGGGGAGAGGGAGAGGGTGAGATAGGCAGAGGGGAAGAGAGAGGAGGAAGGGATGGTTTCATTGCTGCACCTGCAGCAGAAGCAGCAGCAGCAACTGCAGCAGCAGCAAGTTCAGCAGCTGCAGCAGTGGCAGCAGGGGGACCAACACTACCAACAGCAGCAGCAGCAGCGGCAGAAGCAGCAACAGCAGCAGGAGAAGCATCACCAGCAGAAGCAGCACAGAGTGCGGCACCAATTTGGGTCCCTGCTTTCCCACCACCTGCCGTTGTCTCTTCTCCTGCCCGACCCGCTCTTTTGCCTGCTCGTGCTGTCACTGCATATGAGGTTCGTCCTCTGTCCAGCCAGCATGCCAAGTTCCAGCAACAACAGGGACAGCAGCAGCAGCGTCAGAATCACTCAGCCCTTGTGTCGAAACCAGAGAGGGGAGTAGAGGCAGCAGCAGCAGCAGGAGCAGGAGCAGGAGCAGGAGCAGGAGCAGGAGCAGGAGCAGGAGCAGGAGCAGCAGCAGAGGCTGTACTACCCCCAGCAGCAGAGACAACTGTGCAAGCCACACTGGCCGGACCATCGCTGGCAGCAACGGTACCGCTCTCAGTGGCAGTGGCGCCGTCCCCAGCACCACCGTTGGTGCCTGCACCGCTGCTCCCTGCAGGGGATGAAAGAGGTGCGTGTGGCAGTGAATTTTGAGATGTTTCAAATTATTGCTGGCAGCAATGGTACCACTGTCAGTAGCAGTGGCACCGTCGCCAGCACCACCGTTGGTGCCTGCATCGTTGGCCCCAGCAGGAGATGAATGAGGTGCATGCAGCAATGCCCCTTGATGCATGCAGCGTGCAGCAGTGTCCTTTGATGCGCTATTTCCCTTCCCTTTTTAAGGTGCGAGCCTCTCTGCCCCTTCAGTGAACGGGACGTGATGCCGGATGTACCATTTCTTCTCCTCCCCAGCTATGTACCATTACTTTTATTTCTCCTCCGCACTTGCCTCTTTTCCTTCGAGCATCCAGAACGCAGTTTCCCAGGAGCATCCATCTTGGTTGATACATCTCGTGGATGTTCGAGATGCTCGAAGGAGACTACGTGGTTGTGGACCATCCATCTGAACCCTCTCTGTCCCTTAAGTGAACGGGACGTGAGACCCTCTCTGACCACCCCTTTCTCCTCCGGCAAGTCGTGAATGGTACCATCCCTTCTCCTCCGGACTTGCCACTTTTCCTTCGAGCATCACTTGAATTGAAACGACGACGCCATATGTGTTTTGTCCTCTGCACTTGCCTCTCACCCTTACTCCCAGGAGGCACGGACTCGTTCGAGATGCTTGAAGGGGACTACGTCGTCGTGGACCACCCATCCGAACCCTCTCTGTCCGCCGACCAATCAGCCTCTGCCAACCCATCTCTCAGCCAGTCGAGCCAACATCAACAAGTGAAGGCAGCAGGCTCTGCCTCGGCATTCCCTGCTGCTGCAGCAGCTGCACTGTCAGCTGTTGTAGGGGCAGTGGGGGCTGCAGCTGCTGCTGCTGCTGCTACAGCTGGTTCCTCGGCCCACCCGATTGCTTCAGCCCGGGTTCCCACAGCTGGTGCTACTGCTTATGCTGTTACAACTCCTGCTGCTGCAGCTGCTACATCTGGTACAGGTGCTGCTGCTGCTACAGCCGTTGCTACAGCCTCTGGTGCTGTTGCCGGCAGCCCGTTAATTCCACCCGTAGAATCCCCACCGTTATTCCCCCTGCCTCCTAACCACCTCCTCCCTACGTCTGCAGCTCCTGTAAATAATCCTGCACGTGTACAGTCACTCTCAGTAGAGTCACACCATGTACAGTCACATTCGTTACAGTCACAACCTGTACAGCCACATTCGTTACAGACACCATCTGTACAGTCACAAGTGGTAGTATCAGCAGCACCTGCGCCTCTAGTGCAAGTGAGTGGTTTCTGTCCCAAGGTCTGTACAGGAGGGTACACCAAGGCAGCAGACACACCACCAGTTACTGGAACCACTGCTCCACCGTTTTCCACCCTGCTGTCTTCCACCCCACCGTTTTCAAACACTACCGTTACCACTAACAACTCTTCAGCAGCCGCCGCACCATCCGCCTCTGCACCATCCCCCACCACCGCACCATCTCCCAGTTTACCCCCCCCCACTGCACCAGCACCATCCCACGCTCGTTCCGGCTTGGCTCTGGCTGTTAGCCTCGGCACGCCCCGCACAGGTTCTCTGGCCAGACCTGCACCTGGTAGCCTCGGCAGCGATGTGGGTGCAGGTGTGGGTGTGAGTGTGAGTGCTGCATCATCATTGAGTGCAGCAGTTTTGCCTGCTGGAGGGGAGCCGGACAGAGGCGGACTGATGCAGAATGAACAGCAGAAAGGACAGACACAGCAGCAGATGCAGATTCAACAGCAGGAGCAGCAGGTGTTTCAGCAGCATCCTCAGGAGCGGATTGCCTTCCTCAGACAAAGCGGGCGTTACATTGCAGAAATTGCTGCTAGCAAGGTGAGTGAGTGGTGCTAGTAAAGTTAGTGCACTGACTTTTGGATCCACCCAGTGGTCACCCTGTTTGTTACAATGGCAGTCCGACGCACTGCATTGCAGAGTTCTCTCTTTGCTTGTAACGCGAGTGGAGTGCAGTGTGTTTCTAGAACCTGAAAGCTCTCAGCCTTTCCCCGTGTTGTTGCCACAATTGCGACGTTCGAATCATGGCTCTATGTAAGAAATAAAACTTTTCTGTACAATGGTTTTTTTCCTTCTTTCTTTCTTTCTTTTCTTTTCTTTTTTTTTTTTTGTTTTCCCCGTTTGCTTACCTCTTCGCATATCAGTTGGAAACAAGTACCAGCAGTGCCGCTCTCCCTGCTCTTGTTGCTCTCGCAGTGTGGAAAGAGTTTCGCACCCGTCTCTACCACGCGCTCCTCCTTTTGATAACTCCCTTCTACTCTGATTGTCTTCCCATTTTTCCCCGTGTCAGCTGGAAGCAGCAGCACCACTCTCCTTGCGAGTGATTTTTTAGAATTCTCAAGAAGCAGCAGCACCACTCTCCACCTTGTTGCTCTTGCAGTGTGGAAAGAGGCCCTCACACTCTCCCACCAGTGCGCCTCTCCCGTTCTGATATCTCCCCTTTCCCCTTGTTGCCTTGCTGTGTTTTATCTTGTGTTTCCATCGTTCCCCCTCTTCAGCTGGAAGCAGCAGCACCGCTCGCCTCGCTCTCCCTCCACCTCGTTGCACTCGCGGTGGGGTGGGGAAAGAGGCTCTCACGCTCTCCCATGACTGTGCCTCTCCTCCCACTTCCCATCGTTCCCCCTCTTCAGCTGGAAGCAGCAGCACCGCTCGCCTCGCTCTCCCTCCACCTCGTTGCACTCGCGGTGGGGTGGGGAAAGAGGCTCTCACGCTCTCCCATGACTGTGCCTCTCCTCCCACCTCCCATCGTTCCCCCTCTTCAGCTGGAAGCAGCAGCACCGCTCGCCTCGCTCTCCCTCCACCTCGTTGCACTCGCGGTGGGGTGGGGAAAGAGGCTCTCACGCTCTCCCATGACTGTGCCTCTCCTCCCACTTCCCATCGTTCCCCCTCTTCAGCTGGAAGCAGCAGCACCGCTCGCCTCGCTCTCCCTCCACCTCGTTGCACTCGCGGTGGGGTGGGGAAAGAGGCTCTCACGCTCTCCCATGACTGTGCCTCTCCTCCCACCTCCCATCGTTCCCCCTCTTCAGCTGGAAGCAGCAGCACCGCTCGCCTCGCTCTCCCTCCACCTGGTCGCTCTCGCGGTGTGGAAAGAGGCTCTCACGCTCTCCCACGAATGGGCTGCCACCAGTGCCACTAGCACCACCAATGCCACCATTGATACCTATAACGGTGGTGCTCATAGTGCTGATGCTTATAACGGGGGTGCTTCTAGTGGTTCTGGTGGAATGATCCCGGTGCGCAGGAGCAGCAGCGTGGGGGGGCATGGAGGCAGCATGGGGGGACATGGGGACAGCATGGGGGGACATGGGGGCAGCATTGGCGCCCATGGGGGCAGCATTGGCGCCCATGGGGGCAGCATGGGCGCTCATGGGAGCGGGGAGGAGGCAGCAGCAGCGATGGCGTGTGACTTGGTGGAAGCAGAGTTCCTGGCGGCTGTTGAAACAGCAGAGACCGTTGCTGCTGCTGTTGACAGGGACGGTGAGTGCGACATAAGGAAAGAAGTGGGAAAGAAGGTCATGTCATACAGTATAGGTAAGTGGGCAGCAGCAGCGGTGGCGTGTGACTTGGTGGAAGCAGAGTTCCTTGCAGCTGTTGAGACAGCAGAAATTGTTGCTGCTGCTGTTGACAGGGATGGTGAGTGCGGTACGGATGGGTGGATGGGATTGATGAGGTGTGGTATACCGTATAGGTAAGAAGAGGAAGCAGCAGCAGCGGTGGCGTGTGATTTGGTAGAAGCAGAGTTCCTGGCAGCTGTTGAAACAGCAGAGACGGTTGCCGCTGTTGTTGACAGGGACGGTGAGTGCGGTATGGGGAGAGACCGTGGGAAATAATGACATACTACTGTACTGCATAGGTAAGTAGAGCAGCGATGGCATGCGACTTGGTAGAAGCAGAGTTTGTTGCAGCTGTGGAGACAGCAGAGGCGGTTGCTGCTGCTGTTGACAGGGATGGTGAGTACGGTACAGGTGGATGGATGGGATTGGTGATGTGTTTGTGGTGTAGGTAAGAAGAGAGGGAGGCAGCGGCAGCAATGCCATGTGACTTGGTGAAAGCAGAGCTCCTGGCAGCTGTTGAAACGGCAGAGACGGATAGCTCTGCTACACAGAGGCTAAACAGCACCTCAGTGAGACATATCTGTTTCCCCCCTCTCAACCTTCCCCCCACCATCACAGACCCATCACCTGTGCCCGATGCTCTGGAGATGGTCTATCAGACTGCCCTCATCGCTGGTCGCTCTGCTAAACAGAGCCTAAGCAGCATCTCAGTGCACCTGTCTGCCCCCTCCCCTCCTCCTCTCCTCCCACCATCACAGACCCATCACCCGTGCCTGATGCTCTGGAGATGGTCTATCAGACTGCCCTCATCGCTGGTCGCTCTGCTGCTGTGAGTTCCCCTTCCCACTTCCCTGACTGTCCCCAATGTGTCTTTTTCCTGCCTCTATGTCTCTTATGTTTTCTCGTTTCGTATTGGGCTACACAGCATCCGCAGCATGCCAGCAGCGCATATACAACCCCCCCTGCTTCATTTTTTGCTGCTTCCTTTCCATCGCTCTTCTCAGGTGGAGGAGTTGATGGGAAACATGGCATCAGCAGCAACAGCTTATGCGCGTTCAGCCACGCTCTTCATTCCACTGTGTTGTTTTCCTCTCCCCGCTCTCATTCTCACCTTTCCCCTCTCAGGTGGAGGAGTTGATGGGAAACATGGCATCAGCAGCAGCAGCCTATGTGTGTTCTGAGTCGACTCAAAGCTCTCTCCCCCTGTTCTTCCTCCTCTGTATTTTTACCTCTCCCTCTCAGGTGGAGGAGTTGATGGGAAACATGGCGTCAGCAGCAGCAGCCTATGTGGCTCAGCCACGCTCTTTGCTTTCCTCCTGCACCTCGCACCTCACCACCCCACATTGAAGCAGCAGCCTATGTGGCTCAGCCACGCTCTTTGCTTTCCTCCTGCACCTCGCACCTCACCACCCCACATTGAACTTCACTACTCTCGTTCCCTCATTTTGATCCTCCCTCTCTCCCGTCTCCCTCTCGCAGGTGGAGGAGCTGATGGGAAACATGGCGTCGGCAGCAGCAGCCTATGTGCGCTCAGCCACGCTCTTCGCCTTCCTCCTACACCTCGCACCTCACCACCCCACATTGAACTTCACTACTCTCGTTCCCTCATTTTGATCCTCCCTCTCTCCCGTCTCCCTCTCGCAGGTTGAGGAGCTGATGGGAAACATGGCGTCGGCAGCAGCAGCCTATGCGCGCTTAGCCACGCTCTTCGCCTTCCTCCTACACCTTGCACCTCACCACCCCACATTGAACTTCACTACTCTCGTTCCCTCATTTTGATCCTCCCTCTCTCCCGTCTCCCTCTCGCAGGTTGAGGAGCTGATGGGAAACATGGCGTCGGCAGCAGCAGCCTATGCACGCTCAGCCACGCTCTTCGCCTTCCTCCTGCACCTCGCCCCTCGCCTCCCCATCTCCCCGCCCCTCCGCCTCTCCCCTGCCGACCGCCACCGCCTCACCAAGTACCATGATGGGGTGTTGGCCCGTCAGACACACTGCTCTGCTGCGCTGCACTGCTGATTGCTAAATAGGCTAGCACCCTAGCATTTCTAACTACAAGCACTGCACTACACTGCTGTATTGTATTCTCCTCCACGTGATTGAAGAAGTGTTTTGAGACGTCTCAAAACAATGATTGCTAATAGGCTAGCAGCCTAGCATTCCTTACTACAAGCACTGCACTAGACTGCTGTATTCTTCTCCTCCTGCTCCTCGCCCCGCACCTCCCCATCTCCCCTCCCCTCCTCTCCCCTGCCGACCGCCACCGCCTCACCAAGTACCAGGGCTTCAGATTCGTTTTGGGCCACCCTTAGTAATCAGGGTTCTAGGTATAGTCAACCCTGATGCCTAGGGTAAAATTTTTGTTTCCCTGACAAATGCAGGGTAAAAAAAGTCTTAGTCTGTTTGGCCAGGGTATTTTTGCATTGCCGAGTTGGTCAAATTCAGCACTTTGTGGCTCAGTTGGTTATTTTGCGGCTTGGGTCTGAAAGGCTGCAGGTTCAAATCTCGCTATTGGGATCGTTTTGCTTGCAGGGGCCCGCATAGTGTTTCGTCTCGCTACGGAGCATTCGGTCCCATTATTACTGGGATTGTACACTGAACAGTCAGGGAAATAAGTTCCTTACGCTGTTTTTCAAAGGGTACAAAAAAATTACACTTTCTGGCCTAGGGTAAAAAAACCACTACCCTGTCTGTGAAAGGGTAACTGAAAAAAAGCGGCCGCCAGTCAGTGCAAAAAGGGTATTTTACCCTGATAACGAGAGCCCTGCCAAGTACCATGACGGGGTGCTGGCTCGCCAGAAACACTGCTCTGCTGCACTGCACTGCTGACCCCGCCCCCCCTCTTCCTCCACCCTCATCCCTTCCCTCTTGCCACAAGCACTGCTCGGCTGTTCTCTTCTCCTCCCTCCTGCCTTTCGCTCAGCACCTCCTCTCCTCCCCTCCCTTGCCGACCTTCTCCTCTCCCCTTTCGCTCACCTCTTCTCCTCCCCTCACCAAGTACCATGACGGGGTGCTGGCCCGCCACAAGCACTGCTCTGCTGCGCTGCACTGCTGACAACTGTTGGAAACAATCAGTCCTAAGCGCCTCTGTCGTGTCGAAACACTTAGACACAAAAGAAACGAAGTATAACGAATCACCGGCGAGTCAACCCTCGGAGGTTGAAAGTAACTGTTGGAGGTTACGCGAAAGTCAAAGGTCAGCGACCTTTGACCTGACAAAGTACAGCGCGACAGCAAGGACAAACAACTGACTCGGTATTGAGCAGTTGCCCGAGTCGTCATTGTATCGAACCGCAACAGCAATAGTAAAACGGTTATTAACTGTATCTCTTCGTATTCCTTGTACTCTTATAAAAGCTTGTATCTCTTTGTTTTAATCAACTTACTTTGCCCTCACATACTAGCGCAAGGTGGTTCACAACTCTTTAATTAACGCTTCCGCTACTACACCAACTCTACCCAGAGTTCACCCCTGCAAAGATCCTAAGGGTTTTTCAGCCCAACATGGTATGAGAGCTATCAGGGGGAATTCAACTTCTATACCGACAACATCAACAAGCATGGCTACACAAAAGGAAAGGAGCAACTCCAACGGCTCCCAGGGCACTACTCCTACTCCACCTCCTGCCTCTGGCCTACAGACAGAGGAGGGCACAGCAACAAGACCCAGAGCAACATCTACCGAGACTCCCGCGAATCAACCTGCAGACTTCGACCAGAGCATGATGGAGAAGTTTTTCTCCTTCATGTCCTTCTACGAGCAACACCAGCAATCGGCACCTGCGCAGTCACACAACAGCAACAACAACGAAGCAACACCCATGAGTCTCGACGGCTCATCATATGCACGAGGAAATCAACAACAGCAGCCTACCTTTGCTCCGTACGAACGCGGGTCCATCAGCTTTATGCCACACCCACAGCCTTCACCTGGACAAGAAAAATCACTGGACGCATTACAAGTTCAGTCGCAGTTCGCACTGAGAAGAATGAAGAACGAGGATGAATGAACTATGAATGAAGTGAGTACATATAGGAAACCCTAATTGGGTTGTACCCCCTATGGGATACCCCACTATAACCTACACAACAGCATAAGCTATATAATGTTCTGACACACCCCCATAGGCAAAGTGGGGGAACAAGGGGTCACAAGACCAGTCAAGCAAAGCAGAGCAAGCTCAGGGTGGATCACAAAGTCACCACACAGTCCGAGCACAACGACAAGGCCACAAGGCCAGTTCACATGCAGGAGTACACATATATATATAGAGCTAGACAAGCAAGAGCAGGTATATATATGTGACAGTACAAGCAAGGTCAAGAGAAGAGCAAGTGAGGCAAGACAGGTACAAGACCCAGCTGGGTGCAGAAACGCTGATGGTCACAAGGCGCAAGTGCCTTGGTGAACACA